AGGTCTCATTCTGCCATTTGGAGGTAGACCTGAATTCACTGGGATATGTGGAGCAGCCATGTCCCTGCACTTGTTGCAAAGGAACATTTAAATAGCAAGTGACAGCAAAGAGCAAGGTAGAATGGAGCCTGGAATCCAACACTGGGGCTACTAAAAACTCTAACTTATTTTTCTCAGCCCACCCCCCCAAAAAGACTTTCTCATTCCTGTTCCCACCTACCAAACTCTGTGAATTTCCTGTCCACTCCACTGAAGTGAGAAAATCTAGTATAGGTTTTCTTTCAGAATCACTGCTGCTTTGGAAACTAACTAACTCTACCTCTTCCACTATGTACTGCTTTTCTGTCCACAGTTTTCACTCCAGGGGATATGTGTAACTAAGCCCATATACCATGGGACACAAAACCTAATGATTCCCACAGCTCTTCTAGCACCAACTTATTATGCTCTTCCTCTCATTTAACCAGTTCTTCATCTATTCCCGTGGTGTATCCTCAGCCCCTAGGGTTCAGAGGTCAGTTTAAACAACAGTCTGCTGGATGAAATGCAAGCAAATGTGCTGATGAGCATCTCTGCACATTATCTAATAGTACCAGCAAGTTGTTCATAAATTGCCTCTTGAAGGTCCATGTGACCTGTCAGTTTTTCCTTTTCAGCTTTCCATTGCCAGAATCAGTGGTCCTCTACTGGCACCACCCATTGAGTGGGCTGCAAGAGTATGAACCCCTTAGATTTTGCAACTGGATTTTCTTATATCCACTGAAGTATTTTTGTTTTTCAAATACTTTTCTTGTTGTTGTTACTTGTCCTAGAATCTGCCGCAGCAGCAAAGCTACATTGCAATTGCAGCAATAAAATAAAACATGACATATCTGAAGAAGCAGTTTTCTCATCAGTCATTCCAACATGTTTGGTAACTACGTTGCTTTGATGACTATGGTCACTTCCTGAAACTCAGGGAATAAGGAGTGTTCTATAGGAAGCTGACATGAAACTCCACAAACAGATTCTCCCTTGTAATTTGAGGGATTTCCCACAGGCTCACTTTACTGCAGGTTTGATGCATTTGACATTATGGAAATTTCAGTAGCTAGGCTGCATCCTCAGTATAGATTCTAAACTCTCCAAGGTACCAGTTGTTTATCTGTTAGTTGTTCAATGAGGCAATGATCCCCGGGAGGGGAAAAAACCCTTAAGGGAGAAAAATATATAGCATTAATTTCCACATATCTATCAGTCAGTCTGAATCCAAGTCACTGAGTAGACACAGAAATATTTAGTTCAGAATCTGATTTGTATGTTCATGATAAAAATGCCCTTTATTACTTGGGATTCCCCTTGCTGTATCTAGCAGGGAGAGGAAGACTTCTAATGGCTGAATCTACCCACCTTCCTGTGCACTCCTACCACATATACTAACAAAAATCATTCTTACTTGGTCTGTTCCCTGGATTTAGTTGGCCCATGGTCAGTGTAGGACCTAAAGTAATGGGAAAAGGTATTCTTGCACTGTCTACCCCCTTTGTCTTGCTGGAGTGACACAAAAAAATCATCCTAACAGCTAAGGTCTGCCCCACTGTATTTAAACATATGTAGTAAAATGCTAACTTAAGATACTCTCATGAACATGATGAAAAAACAAACTATGACTCCACACAATCATTGGTCCCTAGAAAAAGAGTTTTGCTGCAATTCTGGTTATAGACAAAGACACAAAAATACACTTCCAAATGCCCTTGCCATCAGGATTGACAGAAACAGGTGAAAAGCATGCATGGACTGCTTCAGACAATCACTTGTGTATCAAGAGGTGGGGAAGGGAAAGATGATTACATAAAAATTCATATGTTTGTATGAAGTATATGATTCTTTGCAAAATTGCGTGACAAATGGATTAAACACAGCTTGGGATTCAGGAGACCTAAGCTCTGGCTACTGATCTGCTGGGTGAAAATGAGCAAGTTGCTTCATGCTTCTGTGCCTCAGTGTCTTTATTTGTTAAATGTGGATAAAGATATTCATTTCCTTTCTTACCTGCTTCGAGACCTGCTAAAGAAAGTCTTATATTAGAGCTAGATGTTGTTATTATTGCTGAACTATTGGGATGCTTACAATATTGATGACATGGGGCAGGAATTTGATCCCAAATACAGCCTTAAAACCAACAGGACAGACTAATGAGTTGTCTGCACAGTAAGTGTACTGGTTAGTTTGTGAAGTGTCTTGATTGCAGCATCTTGCCTTGACACCAGCCTCTGTGTTCCAGGTCTCTGTGCCTGGATTGTAAACCCGTCAAAATGCTCTCAGATCTTGACCTTAGTGTGATACGTGGCTTCCTGACTCTGGGTCCTTAATTTTGGCTGGTTCCTGATCAGTGTTTGGGCTCCTGAATCCTACCCTATTTGTGACTTGGGATTCCAGACTCCAGCTTGACCACTGCTTCCAGACCTTGTCCTAGCTCATGGCTCTGGACTGAGGTTTCTGATCCTGGGCCTAACCACGGCATCATTGTCCATGCTCTGGTCATGATATTCTAGGTCTACCAAATAATATACCTGTCTGAATGAGATAGTTAGTGCATATGTAGAACAGTGTGCACTTCCTCTGGGTATCTCATGATGCATCAGACACAAATGAGATGCATAGGGAACTAGTCATATTTTATGACCTACCACATGTACACATTGGTGGTTCATTTAACCACTAGGGTAATAACATGGCATTCCAAAGAAGACTGCTTGTCATTATCCGTCATATATTTTTGTGCCTGGAAATCAGATTTTACAGCCATATCCTATGCCTTCTTCATTTAGCAATTTTTAGGATTTTGTTGGCCAAAACTGTACATCTCTCCATACTGTTTTAATTCCTCTGTCAATGCAATTTTATACACACACACGCACGCACACACACACACTGCCTTCCTTCAAACACTTTCAGAACGGTATACCAAGAGCCCCTCAAGCCCCCTGGAAATTAAGCTTTTATAGATCAAGGACAGAAAGGTGGAGTGAGTGGTGAAGGTTGCACTGCAACACAGGACAGAGCCAAGAGCAGAATTTAGGAATTCCAGTTCCTCATCCTTCCTGCTCTAGCTACTATATTACACTACAGCCCTCCTAAACAGCTGCTTTTGTTCCCATCTAAAGATCCTCCCTGAAGACTCCTTCCTAACTAAAACACTGTTGTTAATCCTCTGTTTTCTATTCTCAGAATGTATTCAAAATAACTCTTTTGTTCCATAGTAATAGGCAAGCTGAAAGAAACTGTGGAATTTCAGAATGTATCTAAGGAGATTGAGCTAGTTACTCCCACTTTTTCCTCCTCCTGTGCACGCTCAATATTTTTCCTTAGTAAGAGTTAAAAAAAATATACAAAAACGAATGATTGAGATAATCTGCTACCTGGGTTCTTCTAGCTGTGATGTTTTACTCCATTGTTACGAGCTGGCAAAGAACAGCAGCAGGCCAGCATGGTTTCAGCTTAGGCAAAAGGTTCATGCTCCCTATAAGTAGACATGGGGCTTTTGTATCGTTCTGACTTAAAATGGTGCAGAACTCCAAGATCTCCCATGGCTTTGATGGAAAGGCAACAGAACCAATGTTTTTGGTAGGATTTGCTTTGTCTTTTGGACCAAATAGGCTGAAAACATCAAAGAGAATCACAGATCGAGGCAAATATTTCCACGATCCCCATACAACCTCACTGAATCACACACCTCACTCCATACGCCAAAGCCCTGAATGCTGACGCAAAAACAATAGACAGGAAGTAGTACGAGTCTTGCTCTGTTGTGGCTTACGTCATCAGAAGTGTCTGCTGGTGGCCCACTGAAACGCCTGCAAATAACAGTGTGAGGAGGGAGGAGACTGCTGCCATGAGGAGGCTCCATGGAAATCATGGGGATTGGGCTAGGTCAGTAGCTACTATAAATCAGCATGGCTCTATTGATTTTAGTGGGACTGTGTCCATTTACACCATGTGAGGCCTGAAAAGTTCAGCATCTGCGTTGGTGGTAGAATCTGGTTCTAAATTTCTTGTGTATAATAGATTGTTTTAAGTGTGCAGTTATGAGAGGCATATGTGGATTTTACATGACAGATTACCCTGAGTAACACTGTTCTTCTGTAGCGGACTAACAAGTGTTAGCTTTATAGAAGATGGAAATAAATATTTCTACAATAGATATATATGTAGAAACCCAGGTATGCACAAACTTACTCCATACATCTGTTTTGAATTATTTTTTTACAGAGCTTTTGCTGCAGTATCTTTATGGAGAAACCCTGCCCTCAGTTTATTATTCTGCTCTTCCTCTTATTTTCCATAGAGATCTGTGTTTATATTGCTAAGCTGATTTGTATTGACACCAAGTATGTACTCAATCACATTATTTTCTGCTATCAGATTGCAGAAAACTGCATGCTGCCATATGGAACTAACTGTGTTTAAGTACCATATTTAAAAGATAGCTCCAGTATGTCAGATGTTAAAGCAGCATTAAAGGAACCAGTTCACACCTATGAAGGCTACTGACAAAATCTGAATAGATCTGAAAATCTTTGCCAATATTTTCCTTAGTATTGAGCTTTTCCCAGAATTGTTTGTGTACAGTGTTTCAGACAGAAGCTTCTACCTAGCTATGAGAGTCCTGCTTTGGAAGAGATCAGGCTAAACTCAGCCTGATTGTATTGAGATTGATCTTTTTTGTTTTACAGTTAAGTATAACAGAGCAGCTTGAAAGCCCAACATGGATGTAAGGTAACTACCCTAGTGAAGAAATATGCCTGAGACCATGAATTTACTAGCATCTACCTAGTGTTGCTTCAAGGCATCTATGTTACATCAATTTCTGGGTGTAACTTCTTGGAATAGGTGTACTATCCTCCATGGTAGTCATCCCCAGCACAGTCTGGACATGGGTGCAGGCATGCCCAAACTAATATCAAGCTGGAATTATATATGGTCCAGTGCCTATTGGAGTAAATTGACTTCCACTCAATCTACTGATTTCAGTAATCATAGATCAGGTGTTGTGAGAAGAATTCTTGTTCCAGGTTCCTTAGAACCTAACCTGGATGAAAAGATTCAGTAGAAAAGCCATTTGAAAATCAGATGGGTTTGACTGTGAAAAATAAAGAGCAGGATATGTGCTCTATAACAAATTATTGGCACGAACTCAGCTAATTTAATTTGGGGAATACACTGATTTCTCTATACCAAGTACCTTCCCTTTTCCACTATCACCCTCTTTATTATAAATAAGCAGGTATGAAGAGGCAGTAGTTTGCATTTAAATATTGCTCAATTTTGACACTTTAAGGGGGATAATCAGAAGAAGTTGTATAAGACTGTGATTCAGGAATGAGATGGTCTGAAAGCCACAAAATAGAAAAACTAGCAATATGTACTTTTTTTTTACTGGCAGAGCCATAGAACTTCCAGAAATACTGGGGGGAGGTTTTGTCCTTTTCTTAGAAATTCTATTAATCTCTTTTTAATGGTTGGTTACCTGCTCTTTTAAGAACTAAAGTGGTAATTAGATTTGTACAGTATTGTATTAGGAAACAATTTCTAAAGTTTAACTCATTCATATAAAATATTAATACTATTTATATGCAGAAAAAGTTACTTTGTGAGAAACAGAAAAACTACTGACAAAGAACTCAATAAAACACAATAATATATTATGTCTCTGAACAATAGGTAGTATTTTCACTTGCAAATAAGCTAGTTTGTGAACCAGCTTTGAGAGATACTTCAGGGACTAAATTAAATCTTAGCTCTTGTTTAACAAAGTTCATTTTCTCAGGGGTATATGATATCCCTCTTCCTTTCTCTCTTTTGTTAAACAAGCCTCTCTGATGCTAGTACACTGAAAAACTGAGACATTTCTCCTTTTGTATCTGTTAGACACAGAAGAGGTATTTCTAAAAACACGGCATTAGAAGATCACTGAATAAGTAGATATTGCTAAGGACTTTTTAATGTGCATTGTGTATGTGATTGGTTTTTCCATTCCTTAGATGAAAACAGAACTTATGCCTGCTAATGATTTAAAACATCCACACTAACACACTAGATGAAGATATAGTGAACTCCTTGTCCTAGGGAAATCCATGGAGGTTTGGAATCGCGTGTAATTCTGGCTCTCTTGATATGAAATCTCAAACTAGAGGAGACAAAAGGGCAGGTCATGTTTTTATTTTGGCAAAGGGGCAGCATGGTATATAAGAGTTCTTACTTTGATACAGAATTGAAAATGTGGCATTAATACATCCAAATATTTGTTTTACCAGTAGCATCAGTTAAAGTAATAGTTACTGCAGACTTTCTAAGAGTGGAGAGACTCCTCTTGACTTCCGTCAGCTTTAGATCAGGCCCTTGATGTCACTAGATAGTACTGGTACTGCAAGTCAGTTAAGCTGTGGATGTGTGAAAATGTAACCTTTAAGCTTTTTAAAGGTGTTTGCTGTCCCATACTTACTGTAGTTTAAAATAATTGTATTTGTTATATGACTCTAAAAATGGGTACAAGTTAAACATGAGTGAATCAGAGTATTTTCTGTGTAATCTGAGCAGCAGAAAGAGTAGAAGTTTGTAAGAAAGATTAGTAAGAGCATTTGAATGTATTGTTAATCACAACGCAGAATGACAAGGACAATAGTAGTAATAGAAATGAATGTTGTTTTTGTAATATTTCTGTTGTGGCAGTGGCAGAGCATTGGCAGGACCCTTGTCTCTCCAGATTTTACCTGTGCCATGTTATAAGAAGGTCTTGGCATCTTGTAGATTGTTCTTTCTAATTATTTGTGAGGGTTTAAAGTGGCAATTTGGGGGATTCTTTGGGTTAACAGTAGCCTACTAATGGAGGGGATTAGACTTGATGGCCTAGGAGGCCCTTTTTAGCCCTCTGTTCCTAGTATGACGGTGCTCAAAAGCAGTTGGGCTTGAGACCCATTGTGATATGGTCTGTAACAATGTGGGTAAAAGTTAACCTCTGCCTTCATTGGCTTTCAGAATCCAGGGAGCATCCAGATTTGGGAGCAATAGGAGAATTCTGAAACTGGAACATAGCAGTTGAGCTGCAGCAACATGAAGTTCAGCGCAGGCTGCAAAACGCACTCAAAAAGAAAGGTAAAACAGCTCATGCTTTTGCAGCTAGATTGCTACTAGTACTTGAGCCAGCTAGTTTAAAGCTAACTCAGGTATGTGTACACTATATTGCAGCTACTGCTGTGATTTACACCTTTACAGGCTAGTAGTGTAGCCATTTTACAGATGGGATGATTGCTCCATAGATTGATAGAGGTCATGAAACCAAGCAGTAGTTCCTCCTGCTGCACCTCTACCAAATGTACACAAAAGGGAGGTGGTGATGTTTAAGCCAGGTTTTCTGGGAAGGGTGGAAGAGATGCAAGATACGCAATGGTTCTAAAGTGAATGTTGATACTTCACAGATATTATTAATCCTCAGCCACCTCCATTTGTATGTGCCAACAGCAATCACATGCATGCAAGAGTGAGAGTGGAGCCTGAGGGCTGAAAACTAGAATGCAGCTTTCAGTATGTTGTGTTTGTGTAGAATCACAGACTGGCTTGGTTTAAAGGGATGCTCTCTAAACCAGGAGTACCTGAAGTTGCCTGTGGAACAATTGTTCCCTACTTGCTAACATTTCATAGTGATACTACAGTATGTGGAATATTCCTCATCTTAACAACTAGCTTCTTTGTATTCTACACAAAAGGCGTTTATATTTCCTATGCAATTGAAACGAGTTTTTTACTGCTTTCCTAGTGATGTGTAATGTGTTGTACACACAGGTCTTGGGTGAGAGTTCACAACCAGCAAAACTGCAGGTCCCTAAAATAACAGCATCCTGGAATAAGAGAAAAGACAGACTCAGGCTAGGATAACTCAAGGTCTTGTAATCATGTTTTTAAGACTGTTGAAATGAACATACAGCAGCAGACCAGCCCCGAGATCCAGCTGGTTCAGTTTCCCTTGTCCATCAGTGGATTTTACCAAATGATTCAAGGAAAGGAGCAAGAAATTACATACTCAGGAATGACGAAAAAAACTGCTGCAGAAAAATCTGCTCCTTAGCTCTAGATAGCTAGGGAATAGATACACTTGGGAATATTAGAAAAAACTTTTTACCAGTGATCTGGGATTCCCACCAGTTGTTTCTGCTGAAGTGGACCTAACATTTCTGAGAGTGCAAGTTTAGAGAACGTTACGTTGGTTTCTGTCAGGGCACTAAAATTCCCAGCTGCCTGCACTATATCTCATTTACATCAGCTGTTGCAGACACTACAGGTTGGACTGATGGACAGAATTAAATATTTCTTTTTGTCATCAGACAGCTTAAACTTTGTTTCAGATCTTGATATGTTCACTTTGCCTTGGAGCTACAACCATTCTCTTCTGCTAATTAGGATACATAAGTTAAGCATTTATGCTCTTGCCAAATGGAGGTCAGGCAAACACCTTTGCTTCCAAGACAGCACTCCATGTGGACACCAAAGTGAAACACTGGTTTGCAGACAAAATATAATTTACTAGTAGCATCCACATTCTTTCAGGAGGCTTCTGAAATGCAAAAGAATGTATTTGTCTAATCAGACACCCAAATAGCACTTTTTATTGGAGGATGAGTCATAAGTAAACCAGGAACTACTCTAAAAGTTGTATTGTGAGTATATGCTTTGGACGCAAAAAATAACTGTGACTGGGCATGTACAAGCATAGTCTTCCTCTTCAATCCTCTTAACCAATCTCCATGAATTGAAAGAGGTTACAGAGCACAGGCACAACAAGTCTTCAGTCTTCATATAATACAGGGAAAGATACAAGTTATAGAAACGCCTGGCTGAAAACAAGAGGAACTCCAAAAGGCATTTCTTGTAAAAGGTACAAGAGCAGAATTCCTGTCAATTTTCCTTTACCAACAGTATGTAAGAACAAATTAGACACAAAAACCAAGGGAAGGTCATAGGTACAAGTGTGATCTGGTCTCACATGTAGTTGAAATGATAAAAAAGAAGCGGGCACTGGTTTATTAACATCTGGCTGCAAAAAACGTTTGATGCGATATAGCTTTATGTCCATTCACGTACGAAAGAAGATGAAACCCAGCCCCCAGGGAAAAACACTCTCAGAAAACTTAGGGAAATAAAAACATCTTTCAAAAGCTTGGAACCTTATTTAAGGCCAATGCACGTATCTTTTTTTTTTGCATTTTAAATCTGCCCAGGTACTTCTGTCAGTCAGAATGGAAATGGTAAAACCTGTTTTAACAATCAAGCTGATGAAATTCTCTAAGAACTTTTCAGGCCTAATGGACTTTGCTTAACGGTACTAGTTTTTTTTTTTACTAGGTCACATATTTTAATGTATTTTGAATCCTGGGTAGTTCCTTTCTTTCAACACAAATCTTAAGACCTATCTATACTATAAAGCCCCAACCAAAGATGGAGCACATGCTACTGGGTCACTACCCCAAACGACACAGGCTAAGATGACAAAGCACCCCCCTACCCAATTTTGTCACAGCCATCTCCACATCAGGGATTTCACACTTCTAGCTGACAGGCTTTATTAACCTATTAACCTAAAAATTACAACTGAATCTCAAGTAGTATATAACACAAGCTACAACCACATTCAAAAGTATTTTGAAGCCTACCTATTTGAAATCCCACCACTCAAAATAAGAGGCTGTTTCGACTGGAACATTGTAATAGCTATGTTTATAATTACACTCTTTAGTCTCCACAATACTTTAACATCCAGTAAAATGGACATGTCGCTTCCAAAGCCAAACTCTCATCGCTAGCATAGAGGGAAACAAGACATACACGAGCCAAAGGCCCCAACCTTATGAACATTTACACGTGCCCAGGCTGAGACACAAATAGTTGTACTGTCTTCAATCAGATTAGTCCTGCCCATAAAGCTTAACACATACGCAAGTGTTTTCATGTGTGTGTGTGGCACCAGTGGCTTGTGTGAGACGACAAAACCAGATAATACAGAACAGGGAGTGGCAGAAGGCAAGCGCAGGGATGGCAGTGCACAGGTCCTGGTGCTCAGTGCTCAAGCCACTTGAGGAAGCTTCCTGGGGGAGGGGAGGTTGTTTGCCAGTGCAAGAGCTGAGCGCTGAACTTTAAACACAGGATGTAGGACTGTTCAAACAACATCACAACAACTGTTGTAAAACAAACAGTAACAAAACATGGATACTCAAGTTCCTCCACAACAACCCACCATCTCTAGGATGACTAGCTCACACCCTTTCTCGGTCTTATTTTAACTAACCCCACCCAATTTTGAGTTCACACCTTTCTCTGTAAACCTAGTTTTCCAGCCTGCACCTTCTCAGGACACTCGTGGTCTCTTTAAATTGTTTTTCTGCAGAGGAAAAAGTGGGACGCTTACAAGAAGCCTCTCCTATTGAATAGTTTGTCTATTTTTCCTTATTGCCGTTGTTTCTGGCTTGGTTTTCCTTTCTAGTTCAGCCAGGCTGCGTTCCTCACTGTTACGATTTTTAAAACCACTTCTTTCTATGGATTTTTAGGCTTTTATTTTTTTTTTTTTAAAAGGTATGTTTCATCTCTTTGTAAACGGACTTCCTGGTCACGGGGAAGGCAGGATCCTCTGTTGCACACGCCGCCACTTAAGAAAGTACAAACACGGAGAAAATGTGCGTGCGCGCTGCGCGGATACCAACACCAGCACCTCTCTATTGCTTTTACACGGAGGGCAGAGCGGGGCTGCCGCGGCCTGGAGTCACCTTCCCGCCAGCCCCGGGCAGGGCGGTGCTGCCCTCAGCTCCGGGTCTCCCCGCGCCTCCACATGTGGCGGGGCAGGGCAGGACTCGGGTAAGGGGCTCCCCGTCCTCGGGCCGCTCCCTCAAGGGCACCTTTGCCCCCCGCACCCGACACCCCGCGCCCGGGCCCGCCGCTGCGGAACAAAGGCGCGGCCCCTTCCCTTCCCTTCCCTTCCCCTTCCGGGGGGGCGGGGCGGGGCGGGCCGAGCGGGGTTTCCCGGCCGGGCAGTCACGGGCGGGGGGCGGAGGCGGGACCGCGCCCAGGCTCCGGCTCCCGATGGCTGCGGGGAGCTAAGCGGGACCGAGTCGGAGCCGACGCCCGGGGACCCCTCGTGTCAGGCGGGCCCTTCTCCTCATTCTCCTCCTACTCCCCCCTCAGCCGGAGCGGGCACCGCGGCCCCGAGGAGCAGGTACTGCCCTTCCTCCTTCTCCTCTTCCTCCCCTCACAGGCAGGGCTCCCATCCCCCCGCAGCACCCGGCCCGGCCCGGCCTGGCCCGGCCCGAGGCGGGAAGGGAGGGAGGGGCCCTGTCGTGTCTGGTGTCGGGGGCGCCGGGGTCTTGGTGCGGCTGAGGGGAGCCGAGGTGAGTGCGGGGCGGGAAATCCCGGGAACATCTGGGGCTCGCGGGGGGTCCGCTGCCTGCAAGGGGGGGGGTTGCACATCTGGAGTTGGCCTTGTGCTGCATGTTTGTGAGAGCCTGAACCCGAAGCGTTTCCCATCATGGAGGATGTGTGCGCGCTCCGGCAGAACAAGGGAGCCGCTCGCTATTGAAATCCTGTGAAAAATAGATCTGGTTTTTCAAGCCTCGTTTGCTCCCATACTGTTTTCAGCACCCACCCCCCCTTTGCTCCTCATTCAAGGGGTTGCTTAGATTAGAAATCTGCTTATCATTGTAAAACTGCATCTCAAAACCTGAAAATGGGCGTAAGGCGCGCACAGGCATAGGAGAGGCGAGAATCAACTGGGGGGGGAGAAAGAGAAATCTTGTCCAGAAGAAAATCAGGATGATGTAGAGGTTATTCTACGATGTCGATTTATCATGTGTGGGGATCGGTTGAAATTTTAACGTGTGCAATTTTTCATAGTTCTCCGATCCAGTCCGGCTCAGGACTGGTGTTAAATAAAGCATCCTTGGGAGAATGCCGGCAGCCACGTTATGAGGCATTGCCTACCGGCTAGGGGATACCGTCTCAAATTAAAAAAAGAAAAAAGCTGGGGGGTGGGGGAAAGCGAAGCTATATCATTAAAATGGTTTCTGAAGCACCAGGCTGACCTCCAAAGGGAGGTGTTCGGAGACTGGCATTAAAATGAGATACCGTTAGGTGCAGAAATTACCAAACTGTAAGGGGGGGCCGGTATCCCACATTTTGAGGCTTGTCTGCTGAACACGGGGATGTGACAAGACAAAATGCGGTCCGTTTCTATGTGGGAAATGCAACTGAAAAAATAAGCTCCTACCCAGAGAGGTAAACTCTTTATAAGTGCTGTAGATCAATCTCTTCCGATTCAGTGTGTTTTAGGGGGAGAGAAGGGGTGATAATAGTGCAGTTGTTTTGGTGGCTGCAGATTACCCGGGTGTGTGTTTGATTTTCTTTTTGCTGTGAATGAATGGATCCTTCTGTGCCTGGGCCCAATAACTGCAACAAGATGGCGTTTGCAGCAAGGCAGCTCTCTCATTTTCAACTCCTCCTCACCACAGCTTTGCCAAACTAGACACTATCCTTAGTTGCATTTTTGATTTGTCTTTTTTTGTTTCCTTTCTCCTTTTTTGCAGTAGGAGCAAGGCTTGGGGGGGTGGAGTGGGGGGGCGATAAAACAAATTTATAGGTTTGTCTTATTTTTAATTTTTTTGTAGCATTTCCCCCCAGTACAGGAGACTAGGTGGGAGGAGTAAATAGTTTTATTGAAATTTTCACATAGGCTGTGACTGGTTAAAGCAGTAACATGATGCCTAATGTCTGTTCATAATGGCATTTGGAAAAAAAAACTCTAGCTTATTTCAGCAACAAATTTTAATGAGCACATATTTTCATACAATCCAGAATTGAGATCTGTATGAAGAAAAACTGTATAAAAGGCTCGGTAGAATTGCTTGTTTCCTACCATCCTAGCAATAATTAGACCCCCATGTAGACAGTCGTCTTTTTTTTTTTCCCCCCCTCTTATTGTAGAAAGGAAGCGCCCTTCTGCTTCAGAGCCCTCCAATGATTTGTGGAACCTTTTAAAACTGCATTTGACCTGAAATTGTCAGTTTGCATAATTATTCTTTTACATTAGATGAGGGGGAGAAGAAATGAAAAGGCTATTTACATATTAAAATCTTTTTCTGTGTTCTGTGCCCTATTTTAAAAATTACATCATACATTTATAAAATCTTTTACAAAGTGGTTTTGTACCACCTTAAAGTGTATATTTCTTAATCAAAGCCTATTAGGTTTCCTGGTTTATTAATTATAGAAAGCTAACCTTCCCCCCCAGTTTAGACACTTGATTAAAATAAACCGTTCAGCTAATACTTGACAAAAACAGATTTACTTATTCTCAAGCATTTTCAAATGGCTCTTAACCATTCTAAAATATATGTCAAACTACACAAAATGTTTGGCTGCTTTTTTGATGTTTTCTGAATTAAAATTTTCTCTTTCCCATTAATAATGGTATGTGAATTCTGGTATTGCTATGTAGATTTATTTTTGTATAATCCATCATTTGCCAGATGCTTTTATAGCTTAATTTTCCTAAGGCTATAGGAACCTTTTATGATTAAAGTTTTTTTTCCCCCACTCAAATTTTTACAGGAAGTATATATATCCCAAAATGCAGATGCATATTAAAGAAATTAACATTTCTCTAATTAGCTCAGTAACTCATAGAGAACTTTTTAAAAATCTGTCAGCGTAAAATTTTGGTTTAATTTTTTTATTGTGTTCCGCTGAATTTGAAACTGACAGTACTTGTTACTATTACTAGTACTTCAGATTTTTTTTAAGCTAAAAAAGAAATAAATGGGGGGGGAAACCATTGTCTCCTGCACTGAGTGACTAAGGCAATATAAATTTATCTCTGCTTAGTAGTCCTTTCAGTTGCTAGGTCAGTTTGTTGCAAGCATCCTATCATGAAAACTTAGTTGGTACCTGAGGTTAGAAACCCAATGTAGGTCCTGGTGGAGCATTGCGTTAGGACCTTTTTCCCACTTTGAGGAATATAATTGAAGATCTAGTACAAAAGTTGACAAGAATTCACAATATTTGGGGGGGGGGGGGGTAAAACCCCCTAGCAAGCATCCTTCCATTTGAATATGTATAGAATTTTCTCTGTGACAGTATTCATCATCCCATCTGATTTGTGAATACACAATACAGCTATCTTAACTTTAAAAAGTGAAATAATTAGACAATTTTCTAATTAGAAATTGGGGCGGGGGGGAACAGATACCCCTAGAATATGAAGAGTAGGTTTGGCTTCTGTATTCCTATATCCGGCATGCAAATATGAGTGCTTTGGAATAATTGACCACAAATATATATTTTGTGTGTTTTAGGACACCCTCCTTAAAGCTAAGAAAGGTATTACTGGATGTTGTATGTAATAACTTCCTGGTGTTTTGGAGGCTTAAGTTAGGTCATGTAGGAAGCAACTAACTCCTTAGCAGTTATACTTTGAGTTACGATTTCTCAACTGCAGTGTGAAATTAGATGCCAGTAAATATAACGTCAGTGTGGAGACATAAATTATAAATGTAACTTTCCTTTTTCTTATTATTTTACTCCCTCTATTTGTTTTCCTTTAGAAAAGTTGGAGTTCAAAAATACTTCCTTAACAAAGCAAGATCCCTTTTGCCTACAACTGAAGGTTGTCTTTCCTGGCTAGGTTGACTCCCAGCAGTGCTTATGCTGCGAGTTAGATGTGTTACGATGATATTGTATTTACTAACTGAAGAGCTTATTGTCATTGAAATTTGGAATTTGTTGCTTTCTGTTAAAACGACCCTAGGTTTTGCCTCCTGCACTCAGGGCTTGGCTTATGTTTCAGTCTCTGAATTGGATTAAATTCTTACTGTCCATGGATTTTGGCTCTCTGCATTAGTGGATTGGTAATTGATATTCTCAATTTTAATATCCAGTTTTAGCCATATGGCATACCGTATTGTTTTGAGACTCCCATTTAGCGCTAGTTT